GTGTGTGTGTGTATATGTGTGTGTGTATGTGTGTGTGTGTGTGTGTATGTGTGTGTGCGTGTCTGTGTGTATATGTGTGTGTGTGTGTGTCTGTGTGTGTGTGTATGTGTGTGTGTGTGTGTGTGTCTGTGTGTATGTGTGTGTGTGTGTGTGTGTGTGTGTGTGTGTGTGTGTGTGTAGTATATATGTGTATATATATATATATATACACACCTTGCTACGTGTATTGTGTTAGGCTAACCGAGACTTGTCATTTGCACTTACATATTGTTGCTCTTTTGTTAGTTTTGACTGCTTTTATTGTCCTCATTTGTAAGTCGCTTTGGATAAAAGCATCTGCTAAATGACAAAAATAAAAAATAAAATAAATAAATAAACATTTCTATAGATTGTACAAATACATACAGATTGTTTATATACATTTTACAGATCTTACAGATTGTAGACAAATTGTGACAAGGCAGATAAACAGGAAGACATCAAAAGAATCAATTATGGAAACTCCACACTCTGATTATGATTGAAAACACACCACACTTTGGTTCAGAATTTATATATGTGTGTGTACTGTGTATATTTATTATGTATATATAAATACACACACATACAGTATATATTTTGAAAATATTTACATGCATGTATTTATATAATTTATATTATATATAAATATATTTAATATACCAATATAACACATTTTTCTTAAATATTTACATGCATGTGAGTGTATAATGTATACACAGTACACACACATATATTACATAAACAAAAACGTTTCTTTTGGATGCGATTAATCGTTTGACAGCACTAATAGTAATAATAATAATAATAAATGTGTAGATGGTATTTGAGTTATTAAAGTTTTTTTTTTAATGTGGTCTTCATATGTATATATAAAGAAATATATAACCATTCAAACATGTAAAAATTCCAAATATAGCATGGTTATGATTTAGTTACTTGGTGGCCTATATCAAAATACCATCCAGCATAATCACGGACTTTTACTTTGAGAATTTCGTGAATTAAATGTGTAGATGGTATTTGAGTTATTAAAGTTTTTTTTTAATGTGGTCTTCATATGTATATATAAAGAAATATATAACCATTCAAACATGTAAAAATTCCAAATATAGCATGGTTATGATTTAGTTACTTGGTGGCCTATATCAAAATACCATCCAGCATAATCACGGACTTTTACTTTGAGAATTTCGTGAATGCGCCGGTGTGGGGTTTTCCGCGAACATGGAGGCTGTTGTGTCAGATCTTGTGGCACCGGAAGATCTAAAGGTACAACATTTTATCCTTTACTTTCATGACTGTAAATCCAAAATGACATCGATGTAGTATTGATGCATGTGGCGAAATGACCGATATCAGGTTTTAATCGGCGGACGCGTTTCTACGGTACGTTACTTAATCAAAACTACAACATTGCTTATGCGTTGATTACTGTAACTCATAGACGTATAGAGTAGACCTACTGTTATACGCCTTTGCTTTTTGGATAAAATACACTTATTTGGTCAACTTATTATTGTTATCCTATTAGCTCACCTACTATTGGAATGGCATTGATTCTTGCTGTAAAAGTTAGTCTGTGGTAGTCGGCCAGGGGGAGCACGTGATCCTGACAGCAGCCATCTGCTGATCAGTGTTGCTACATTTAGCTACTTTTCAGACTACCCTAGCAACTTTTTATTCCAAAAGCACCTAGCAACAAATTTAGCCATTTAAAAAATGTATTTGGCAACTTTTGAATAAAAAAGGCACACATTTTCCATCCAAATCACACAAAAAGAGGAAACCAGAGGTGCCTAGACGTACATACATCACATGAATTAAGTTACTGCTATTTGCAGTTGTTCAATTTGATAGTAACAATAATAATTTAATAATTGTTCATTTATGATACACCTTGTTAGTAGCTTGTACCTGCGATTGTTGATCAGTTAGTACACTGTAAGAAAAATATCTAGAAAAATGGCAAAGGTACTAATAATTTTCCAGGACATTATCCGTTATCCATTACAGGGCTCTACAGTGCGAGCAAAGAAAAGTATCAGTAGAGCCCTGCATTATCTGTTATCCATTATCCGTTGTAACCCTGTAACCCGAAAATACAATCCGTAATTTAAAATGCAGGTAAAAACCTGTGATTTATTTTCTTAGAGTGTCGCATACTGACTACTAATACACTGCTTAAAACTATAATTGTTCAGAATGTGTAGTTTTACTAGTTTACTAGCTCAGTGTTTCTCAACCAGGGGTCCGTGGACCCCTAGTGGTCCTTGACGTAAGGCCAGGGGGTCCATACAAAGTATGACATTTTGTATGTTTTGACATGACATGTTCCCATGAAAGAAAAATCCAATATAGCTGCTGATATGGCCAAATACTGGACAAGTCAGCTAACTTGAATTATACGTGACTGCATTTGGTCCTCACAAATGATACATAGATGAGTCAGTTTTGTTCTGGGGGTCCTTGAGGATGGTTCTGAATTGGACTGGGGTCCAGTACGCCGAAAGGTTGAGATTCACTGTACTAGTAGCTAATAAAAAAACTTGTAATCGTTCAAAAATTAAATCGTTCAATGTTGTATATAAAACGAGTTATTTATATTTGAACGTTATATTATGCATTTATATTATTTTACGAACAAATCTAAATGAACATATAAAATATATTTTTGCTGAGATTTGATGTAGTGACGCAATTTTGCGTCGTGATTACGTAATGACGGCGTTTAGCAACTTTTAGCAACAAACCGACCTTCCTTTAGCAACTTTAGTTGGTAACACTGGATGCAGTCGAGTCAATCTGACTCTCATCAATCTATTGACAAGAATTGTTGTCTTTCAGAGGTTTGAGAAGAAGTACAACGCTGAGCTGGTGAAAGGACCCGTTTCCAAAGAAACCACTTTTGAATACGCCTGGTGTTTGATCAGAAGCAAGTACACAAATGACATTGTAAAAGGCATTCATCTATTAGAAGGTCAGTTCCTCAGTTACAGCCTTCTTGAGCTTCAGCTGTTCTTGGTTTAAAATTCTGAAAGTGATTCCTGTTTTCTTTGAACAGAACTGGTTCATAAAAGCAAAAAAGATGATCAGAGAGATTTCCTCTTCTACCTTGCTGTTGCAAACTACAGACTTAAGGTGGGTTTACATTTTTCTTATTTTGATATGTGATGGTTTCGTCACTGCTAATAAGCTTTCTTTATTTCATGACGCCATCTGTGGCATCTAGTTAAAAGAGTGTTTCTCAACTCTGTTCCTGGAAGCCCTGGTACATTGGAGTTTACTGCAATACTTTCAAAATCAAATCAGATCAATTAAATAACTTTACTGTCACGTCACCATATAAACAAGTGTAATGTGTAAACGGTTCAATACGGATACCAGACGAAGTAACTGTACAGAGGTGAATCTC